TCTATTACTTTGTTTTATATAATTATCCTTTGGGCGCCTATCAAAGTCCTTATTAAAATCTTTTCTATCATATGTTCTCTTACCTATCAATCTTATTCCATATTTCTTCTTCTTTATATTTATTTCTGAAACAAATAATTTATTCTCAAACACTTATGAAACCGCTTCGGTCTTATCAGAATTCAGACATTCTTATCACGTGGTCCATATATTGAGGATACACAATTAGATTGTTTCATTGATTTAACACATCTAATAAGTGCTTCCATAGGTAAATTTTGCAAGCAATTTGAGTTGTAATATTTTTGTGCGAAAAACGCGTTATAGGAGAACTATTCCAATTTTCGCACCGCATTATATGCAAATTACGTTATAAAAACAGCGCATTATAGCAGACTTGATCTCGGCTTTATGTATTCGAGGATATCTATAGAGTTAGGTTGATATTTCGCGAGTAGTAGCTGTTGACAGAGTTAATAAATCGGTAAGTAAATCAAATATATCGTTGAATTCTGTACAAATCTAGGATGTCAGGCGTCATTTTTCTTAATTAAAATAATCCATTCTAAGGTTATGATTCAATGCGTGTAGTCTTCGCGAGATTTCATTATTTGGTCGATTTGTTTAACAGATATTCGAAACAGAATACCTTCACCACTAGCGGAAGTGTTAACAATCGTAAAAATTGCTTCAATACGATCATTCATTCTAGGAATGGCATTCGTAATTAATAACGTGTTGTCAGAATTCAACTGCGAGGCAGAGGAATTCGAAATGGAACAGAATATAACTAAATAGTAAAGATAGAGTAGTCAATTTTAGTTCCCCGACACTGTAACAAATCGTTCCCTAAAAGTCAATCGAATGATATATTTCGAATTTAACTGCAATCGGTTTTGAATGAATTTGAAGTTCGATTTCTGTTTCATAGCGTGTTGCGATGCACTTGGAAATACTCCTTTTATTATTAATGAAGTATTTTTATTAATTTTCGAAAATTTCATACTACTAGCCTTGAGCAAAAACACCGAAACGCTGATATCAACTAGGAATTCCAAAATTTCGTCATCGGAATTACATTTTTGTTGTTGAAAGTGTACGTACTTTAAATCATTCCAGGCTAATAAGGGTTCGGTAATTGTTACCGATTTGTTAGGATACCGCAATTAGATTGTTTCATTAATTTAACATATCGAATGAGTGTGTTGTTGCAATGTTTTTGTACGAAAAACGCGTTATAGGAGAACTGTCCCAATTTTCACACCGTTATATGGAAATCGCGATATAAAAACACAGCGTTGTAGCAGATCTGCCTATAATACAGAAAAAAATTAAACAACGTTAATAAAATTTTTTGCAATTATTGTGATGTATTGTAATATTTTGTAATTCAAATTGCAATAAATGACAAGCTTTATTTCCATAATGGATGGTGTTATTTGATAACTCTTACCCGTAAAGATTACTTTCATTTAAAATTACATTTTTGATGTAATCATGTAGGTGGTCGTACAGAGAACATATATATATTTGTGGAAATGCGTTGATATCTATGTAGCTAATATTATATAATTTCTAAATATTCTAATTATTTATTTTATTCCATTGAATAAATGCACGACTTATAATTTAGATTTCATTTGGAAGAACATATGGATCAACGCAAAGCAAATAAACGTTATTGCCAAAAGTGTGGGAAAACCTATTACAAGAGAATACAATTGAAAATACAATTAAGCATAAATAGTCCCATGGCTTGCATAAACAGGTGTATCCAATACGTAGGACAGTTTTCAATCGTGTGGAAAATATGAATACACGTCTTAACCGCCATAACAATGAAAAAATACATACGCATGCAAAGTGACAGATCAAAAAGTTTTCAGTATTTAAAGTTATGTACAAAAATTTGCGTCTTAAGTATGTACGTATATGTCAGTGTAATTTAAGAGTGAGCTAAAATTAGACAGGGTAGGGAAAAATCATAGGAGAACACATTACGGAAAATATAAGAAGGATGCGGCAATGTAAATCCTGTAATCGAATATCTTCGACGCGAGCAACATTATTAAACCACGAATATATATAATAAATGAAGAAGAAAGAATACGTTGAGATTTCTGTATTACGAAAGTATATTTATTAATAGTAAAACTAGTACAGTGGATACTCGCGTATACAGTAAAGTAATAATATGAAGTTACTGTCAAGGATAGTGCAAGTCCTTCGGGTCACAGATTTAGCTGAAACTTTGTAGGTTTGTAGATTTAGTCATCCAGTTTAAGAAAATATATCATTATAAGGGCAACTATAGTTTTCTAGACATTTATGATTAAAGTTTTGTTATTGCCTTAATTACAGATTTATTTCGAATATTTATCAAGTGCCGTTGTGGCCTAATGGCGATATTCGAAAATTCCCACGCTGGTGGCTTTTTTGGATGTTGCCGTTATCGATAACTATTCGAAAGAAATCTCTAATTAAGAATAATAAAACGGGTGTCGCTATTAGGCCACAACGCCACTTGAAAACCATTGGAAATAAATCTGTAGTTACAGAAGTAATAAAACTTCAATCATAAATATCTCAAAAATTATCGAGTAAGTTGCTCTGTGATAATGGTTAACATAGATTTCGAATATATATGTGTTGATATAATAAAAGAGCGATGTCTGTAAGAAAGGGATAAGTGGGACAAGTATGCATGGGATTCCAATATCTAATGGTTCAGGTTATTGCGATAAATGAGTATGCGTGTAACGATTGAGGTGTGTGTGAATTGTATATGTCATGTAATATATGAAAGTAGAAAGAACAAGTCAGAGAGATTGAACATAGGTCAGTTGTAATTGAGTTGAATAGTGAAAATAGGTGTGAGCATGTGATTGCGAGAAATTAATTAGATTTATACTTAATATTTGTGTTTGATCATTTTTCGTAATTAAATAAAGTTCTTATTGTTATTTATATTTCATCCACCACTAACATGCCCTTATAATGATATATTTTCTTGAACCTAGTAAATATTGACTAAATCTACAAACCTGCAAAGTTTCAACTAATTCAATGACCCGAAGGACTTGCACTCTTCCTGTAAGAAGAAGGGTCTTGATGCGAATACGTGTCTGCTTTGCTATCTGAACGGAATTGTTTAAGCGAAAGAAAAGTGGTCCTTATGTATGTGTTATGTTTTGCAATGTAATATCGCGGTCATTTACCTTGCGTTACGCGCTGAGGCTCTGACACCAGGAACCTTAGACAAGTGGCACATCCGGTATTGTCGTCTGTTGTTTCCCTTTACCGGAATAAGTATCGATTGCAATATTTATGAGAAAAAATTAGTGAGCAAAAATTCTTTGATGCATCATAAGAAATCCATACTTCATCTAAGCTATACACGTGTTAATACTGTGGAGAATCGTTTGTTACCAAAGATTACCAAAGTTACGTTTTATACACGAAAGAATACACGCTTATAGAGCGTCCTTGTGTTTGTAAAATATGTAAAATAGAGTACAAGTATTCATGCAATCTTAAGCAGTATATGAAGGTTCATATGGGAATCAAACCTTATAAATGCAGGTGTTGTACTAAGAGTTTCACACGAAAAGGAACGTTAAATGCGTATCTGAAGATAAATGTGCGACAAATGTGGTAGAACTTTTTCCCCCCAAAAATGACGTAATTAAACGTATCGAAATGAGTAAATCATTGTGCTGTGACAAGTGTTTCCAATGTTTCCGGAAAAAAGAGTGACAGACTAAAGCATATTGTTTTGCACGAAGAAAAATAATTGTATAATTGAGGAGCATGTAGAAATAGAAGAAACAGCACCACATCTGGATATACCGTGCTCGGAATTTAAATAATTTTTGCTATGGACAAAGTGAAATAAATATTAAGTACTAATATTATGCTTACAGTACAATTTTACAGCAAATGTATGCATAATAATGCATTCCTTTCTACGATTAACTGATTAATGAAAAGATTCTACTTTTGTAATTATTCCATAAAATATAAATACGAAGTTCTTTGTAGATTATTTTATATAAATTTCAAACGTTATTACATATATTTTATATTTTATATGTTTTATATAGATTTTATTTCATTGAATGTATTTTCGCTAATTGAGGATTGAACTTTCCGAGCAACCAAATATAATTTATTAAATTTATTATTTAATTTAATATTTAAATTAAATTTACTACATCGTGATAAAAACGTTAGAATTATGGGTATCGAACTAAAAAATTAAAATATGAAAAATATTAGTCATTGTACATTTATTAAATAACAATTCTCTTACGTGTTTTGATTGACGAATTGAAAACGATTTATATAAGTAATCAGTTATTTATTAAAATAATATTCAGTTGCAATTATTATCCAGTTATAATTCAATAGTTCATAGCCCAATTAAAATAGTAGACAGGAATATTACCTTCTTTAAATACTAAATAGTTCTTTGTAATTATTGATGGAAATGATTCGATTCAAACAGTTATTCCATTAATGACTAAAGTTCTTTATTAAATAACTGAAATGTAAATTATGTCGATAGTAAACATAATTACTACCTCAGATTAATAAAATCGACATGAAGAATGTCACGAAGATTAAATATCAAAATGAATATAAATGATTATCCAACATTATATATAACGTTGAATTTATTCACAATATTCCAAACAGCGTATATAAACCATCGTATTATCATAAAATCAACATTGCAAATTTTACGTCATTTCGAATTCTTTGTCATTGTAATTAAAATTTTAAATTATTTTAATCATAAATAACTGGCTATAAAAGATTCACCATTCGAAGTGGGATACCCTTTTACACTTAAAGGTATATAAAAGAACATTATACCTTCTACATTGATATAATTTAGAACAAATTTTAATGATAAAGTTGAGAAAAATTTAGTAAAGTGCGAACGAGTATTCTAAACAAATAAATATAATATAATCGAGGAAAACAGGAGTTCTAAAATGAACGACGGGAGCAAGACTGGACAACCAAACGACAAGAGAAATTCAATGAACAATTGCGATAGTCAAATACGACAGTTTTATGCTGGCAAACATATATTTCTCACAGGATGCACCGGTTTTCTGGGCACCGTTGCTGTGGAGAAAATCTTACGCACGTGTAAAGAAATTAGCAAGATTTACATCATGATTAGGCAAAAGAAAGGGAAATCGGTAGAAGAACGGCTTAAACATTTCTTTAAAAATGACGTAAGTACCAAAATTCCACAATAAAGTGAAAAGGAGATTAATACATAACAGTAAAAACTTAGTCGTGTTTTTCTCATTGATAATTTTATATCTAACGACCAAAGATTAAAATTTTAACTGCTTAATAACCACTCGCGCAAGTATATCGTTACGGGAAGAAATAATTCTCTTGTCGTTTTCAGATATTTAATAAATTGCGCGAAATGAATCCTAACTTTATGGAAAAGATCGAGGTGATTTACGGCGACTTGGAGAAAGAGGACTTAGGCCTCTCACCAGAGGATCGTCGTCGTCTCGTGGAGAACGTGAATATAATAATTCATAACGCATCGATGGTGCATTTCGTGGCGAAAGTGTCCCGCATTTTACGAACAAACGTGATTGCCACGCAAAAGCTGCTCGAACTAGCGAGAGAATGCCGTCATTTAATGGCATTCGTTTATGTTTCGACTGCTTATTCTCATCATTACAATCAAACGATCGAGGAGAAATTTTACCCGCCACCGGCTGATTTGAAGCTGATCAAAGATTTGATACGTGCTGACGAAGAGAACGCAGCTGGAGTTACCGAGGAAGTGGTTCAAAGTATGGTAGACAAGTGGATCAACATTTACAGCTTTACTAAAGCCACCACTGAAGATTTGGTTCGCAATTTTGCTAGAAAAACCTCGTTACCCTGTATCGTCTATCGGCCTTCAGTGGGTATGATAAGTGAAATACTTTTTTGTTGTAGAGGATGGAAGTTAGTTAAGCACAAAAATAACACTCATATAGAGTCTCCAATTAATAAATAATGATATATTTGGAAGTGAAAAGGATGAACTGTCGCTATATACAGCTAACCCTCTTATAACACGGTAGATAGATTCCTAGAAAATGCCGTGTTGTGTGAAACCGTTTTGTATGAAACTCAGAGCCAGTACAAAAAGTGAGGTTATGTTCTGAAAACTTACTAAAGACAAATTTTTTCTTAATTCTACATAAACAACTTAATTTTGATTAAAAATATAAATGTATGTACAACACGAAACAAAGGAAAAACAAAAATATTATTTTAATTTAATGCAACATTAATTTAATAAATTTCTTCGTCGTCACTGTTCATGTAGAAGTACAGTATTGTACAAAGATTTTTGCAATTTTCTTATCGTGTTAGAACGAAACCGTGTTATAGGATGCCGTGTTGTAGGAGGATTCTCGTAATTTATGAATCGTGTTATAGTGAAACCGTGTTGTAGGAGGAATAGTACTAGGAAGTACTACTCTAACGCTAGTTCTATCTTTAGTACTTGGTAACGCTGACTTTAAGCTGAACTGACCCTGACGGTCACTCGTTCTTCCGCATACACCATAGATATTAGCCTAAACGCTCGGGTTGAACCCTAGGTCACTGTTTATCGTCACTTGTCTTCGAGAAATGACCCAAGCGTTCCCATGCACTCATTTAAAACACAAACTACGCCTTCTTTTCTACAGCTATGACTCTAAGCGCTAAAATATCCTACGCTATTCTCGATTTATTTTAATTGTAATCTGTGACGTAATCATTCAATTCCTTCGAAATCCATTGGTCATTCGAGGTAGTCAAGGTATAATTCCATTCGCCATTATACTTTTCCATTATTTATGGATTACACGTTTCAACATTAACACTTTGACTGCCACGTTGGTCATATATGACCGGCAATGGTTTCTCCTGTGACTCCACGATGGTTATCGATGACCGGAGCGGTTGAATGACTCGAACTACATTGAACTACATAGAATAAAAATTGACAGTTAGTGCATTTCGAATATAACCGCTAATTAGAAGATACTTTGGAATAAAAAGTGCTCCATTGAACGATTAAAAATTTTTATTAGAACATCAAAAACATATTAAAACAAATCTTGCATCCAGCGATGCACTGCCATGGCGTCCTAAGGGAAACATGCAATTTCGGCGTGGCAATCAAAGGGTTAATCATATCTATATTTTTAATATCATAGAATAATAAGGTAAATTTTCAAATCGAACGTATTATTTATTTTATCAACAGTTGTAGGGACATATAAGGAACCAATCCCATGGATTGGAAATAAAAATGGTCCGGTGGTATTGGTAATGGCAGTCATTGAAGGTTACCTACATACCTTGTACTGGTATGAGAACGTAAATTTTGATGCAATTCCAGCTGACATGACGATTAATAGCCTTTTGATATCGATCTGGGACTTTGTCGTGTATAGGTAATGTACGGTATCTACTGAAATATATTAAAGTTTACAGCACGTTGTTACTAAAATGGCACAAAAAGATCGTAAAATGAATTATCCGTATAATTTATCTACTGTTACATACGGAACATGAAAATTAATATGCCTATTATTCTGTACAGGAAATCGAATGAACCGCAAGTGTATAATTATGGAAGTTCCGACTGGAATCCACTGAACGTCTTTTCAGGAGCAGTAAATATTATAGACATTGCACATAAAAATCCTTCGACCAAAGCGGTCTGGTACCCGTTTTTCATTTGTGCTAACAACTTTTTCATTTTCTTTGTACTTCACACACTTTGTCATATCTTACCTAGTATATTTGTCGACTTATCTCTTTTGGTACGAGGAAAGCAACCAGTGTAAGTTTATTAAGTTTTTCATGCAAATGACTAAAAGTATTAAGTTCCATTTTAATAGAATTAATTAAATTATTTAAAAACCTATATTTTAAATTAGTCCAATTGTTACTATACAACAAAGCAGCGTATAAAAATTCTGTTCATTTTTGCAGCATTACAAGTATATTGTTCAAGTTAACGAAAAATTATAAATTATTGTCGTATTTCATATCTTCGAACTGGGTTATAAAGGCGGATAAACTGAAAGAAGTTCAAAGGAGGATGAATACAGCAGATTTGAAAGAGTTTCCTTGCGATTTAAGCTCAGTGAACTGGTATGAGTGTACAGAAACATTTGTGGCAGCTGTACGAAAAATACAGAATGAACCACCAAACGCGGGTATCGAGGCAAAGAGGAAGCATCGAAATTTGATGATAATACATTACACCGTTTGTGGTTTATTTGCGCTTTTTTCATTGTACCTTTTTTATACGATAATGAGTGCCTTTATTTCGTTACTATCAGCGTAATTTGCACAACACAGACCCTGATATTACGATACCCTGTATAATTTATGAAAATTAATTAAAATTTAATTATATTTATGTATAGAAATTTAATAACAATACGATCTAACCATGTGCGGTATACCGATCGATATTATTATCTTTTTCTGTTAAATATTCGTTTCTGTATAGCGATGCCCAATTCGTTCATGCACTTCGCATTCGTTGATTTCTAATACGTGAAAATAGGGTTATCTTTTTCCCCCGTCTTTCATCTTTTTTTTCTTTCTTTTACAATAAACCCACCATATCCTAAATTACCATTTTCCAAAGTTTCATTAAAAATCCTCCGTTCGATGTTATCACTTTAATCACTCGTCTTCGTGATTTTTCTTCCAATATACGTATAATCATATTCTCAATGTCTCCCGTTAATTAATTTTTTAAAGCTTATGCCACTTTTTTATTCACCGGTCATTCGACTATGGTAGATTTAGTGTTAACCAAGCATCTCAACGTATGTCGCGATCGAAATTCTCGTATTTCCGACGGGTTGTAAGGCCGTCTCGCGACTACGACACGTGTTGCCCGCCAAATTAATATTGGGCAACTGTTTAAGTTGCACGAGCAGAAAAGAGTCGTATCTACGACGGTCGACGTTTCGAAAAGAACCGTGGCGTGTTATTGATTTGAATCGGTTAGACGGAGTGTTTTAGAAAGACCCGACGTCTCTCAAATTTCGTATGGAAGTGTGTTAAGAGAACCCGTGTCTCTCAGAGCTCGTACGGAAGCGTGCTCCTCGATCTTCCTAAGATCGGCCTTAGGAAAAATCGGGAGCTCGCCAAATATGATTGGCCGTTTTTGACCAAGGGCGTTCCCTTGGTTCGCGAATCCGTGACCTTGGAGAAAGGGAAGGTTCCCCCAAAAACAACGATAGTGGAGGAAACCCTCTCCTCCAAGGTGGGGTACCTGGGGTCCACCCGCGCGCTGGTGACCCCATCGGTCGTTTATTACCCCTAGCGAGGGCCTGAGGCTTCCAACGTGTGCGGACCACGTGGAGCCCTCAGGCCTATTGTCAGCCAAGTCTTAAGAGTCGTCGCCTAATTTCGTTAAATTAGGGATTTCCAAGATTCTCGTGTTCCGCGACACGAGAAGTCAAAGAAAAAAGGTAAAGCATTCAAACATGCTGAAGGCATGGAGCGGAAAATTCCGATGCCGAATTGTTCGACCCTAAGACCCGGCTGTTGGAAGACCGTAACGGGTCTTCCTTGTTCCACGACGGAACAACGTACGTGGCACGTCTTTCTAGCGTAAGTGGTTAACCCTTTGTGGACGGAGCGGTTTTGAGTAAACCGTACCGTGGATCAGAGCCGCTGTCGTGATAGTCATTTAAAATTACCACCGCTCATTTTTGCTTAAACGCGATTTCTAAGCCATAGCGACGCGTTTACGTGGGACACATTTATGCGTCCCTCGGCCCTAACAGTTGTTTTCGTCAAACGCATATGTATATGTGGTGCTCGTCAACAAAGAATTAAGTCCTTCACAGCCCTTATTATCATTTTATTTAGGAATTCTTACAAAACGTGCTCCTATCACGTTAAGTTTTTGCGTTGAGTTTGCAATGACTAAATTATTTTCGCCATCCTTACATGCCGTGTGCAGATTTATATCAGCATCTTCGAATAAGTAGCTTTTATTTTATAGAATTTTTATTATTCCTATGGATTCCAATTGTGTAAACATAATTGCATTTTTTATTTCATTATTTCAATATGTATTGATAGAGTAAGTACATTCTTGTCTTAACTTGTGAGAGGAATCTTTATTTGGATGTCGTCACCGTGGATCGAGATCTATCTTTGCTTCGAGGATTTCGAGCCTCCGTATATTTTATACCGCCAAGAAATAAAGAATACGACCAGAATCAAAAGTTCGTTTCGACTTATTAATCCGATATTTACCACAAACTGCATTTTGTATATCATCAACGAACTGAATATAAGAAATGGGGAAGAAGGAAGAGAAAGGAAAAAAAATGATGCCAACAACACGCGTGGAGTTCCCAAGCGGTCACCCATCTAAGTACTATCCGCGCCCAACGAAGCTTAACTTTGGTGATCGGACGATAACCAGTGCATTCTGAGTTTTTGTTTTCTTTTTGAGCGTTTATTGTACCAATAATAAAAGAAACAAGTATATACAGGGTACAACAAACTATAAAACACATAGACAGTTTACGGTAAATTACACAAAACGTGTTAGAGACCCAGATTAATGGCTCTAGTATTCGAGCGCTCGCAATCTGACATTTTTGTATTACACTTTAATGAACTGCACTTAATGCTACTTTCTTACAGTAAAATATTTGGAGACTTGCGTCCGGGCTTTAACAATGACGGAAAAATATTAATTGTACCTGATTGGCACTGGCGGACAACTAAGTAATTAGTCGGTGCAGATTATGGAGGGAGGATGAGTGGAGATGAGTAGGGGTAATAGAGAGATTAAGATTTATTACATATATACAGTAAATGGCACGTGGATGCCAGTGAAACACCTATGCACATATATGTATGGATTGCCTAAGCTATATAGTTATATACGCGATACAGTTATGTAGATATAAATTACAAATTTATAAAATTCGTACTTCCATATAATAGATTAATGTACGAATAAAGCATTCGTATCAGGTGCGCCAAAGAATAAGACAGATATATATACATTTCATGCACGCAATTGTCCACAATATACATATTTACATCCTCATACAATTTTGCTAAGGAATCCGAAATTTAATTACTATTAACATTTGAATATATACATGAATGTATATTGTGTGTGGACAATTTATACCTGTGAACAATGCGTAACTGAAGTTATACACTTACAGACTACCTACAATAATACGATAAAGAGCAGTAACAAGATAGAAATATATCTTATGTTTAATTTCATTTGGCCCTTCTCTTCTACTACCTTGTATTAGTAGAAGTGTAAATATAGGGATGAATTGATTGCACGGGTGATTTCGGTAATCTGAGTAAACGAATATGCCAGACACTTGACAACAGGTTGCGAGTGTGAGACTAAAGCCACCAGTATTTTTTGGTGTTTTTTCTGTGAGCGTCATTTGCATCAATGGAGGGCAGTTTAGTTGAGAAACGTATATTCGCGTGATTGTCTGGAGTGTTTTTGTCGAATAGAATTCTTTTATCTGAGATTTTTTGAAAATAATTATATAAAATGGGTAAATTCTTGTTGTTTTGAATTAGTCCTTGAGAATCGAGGTGCAGGAATACTTCAGCGGGGAATAAGGCCTGTATCCTCTCTTACATCAAAATAGCACGGATTTGGGTAGGTGGAGAGTAGTATAAGGCTATTGTCAGTGACCTTCCTTGTGTTTGCCCAATAATTTCTTATAAGTTCAAGGATGAATAGATCAATTCTTGTTAACTTAGCTTTTTCATATAGGACTTCATTTCTAACGTTTTTAGTGAAGTTCGACTCAGGAGACATATATGTATTTAAGCATGACCTGAGGCATTTTCTCCATAGATGTTGCGCTTATATTGAACCAAACGAGAGCAGCATATGTGAGGATTGGACGAATTAAGAGTTTATAACATAGAATTTTGACATAATATTGGGCAACTGTTTAAGTTGCACGAGCAGAAAAGAGTCGTATCTACGACGGTCGACGTTTCGAAAAGAACCTTGGCGTGTTATTGATTTGAATCGGTTAGACGGAGTGTTTTAGAGAGACCCGACGTCTCTCAAATTTCGTATGGAAGTGTGTTAAGAGAACCCGTGTCTCTCAGAGCTCGTACGGAAGCGTGCTCCTCGATCTTCCTAAGATCGGCCTTAGGAAAAATCGGGAGCTCGCCAAATATGATTGGCTGTCTTTGACCAAGGGCGTTCCCTTGGTTCGCGAATCCGTGACCTTGGAGAAAGGGAAGGTTCCCCTGTGTGCGGACCACGTGGAGCCCTCAGGCCTATTGTCAGCCAAGTCTTAAGAGTCGTCGCCTAATTTCGTTAAATTAGGGATTTCCAAGATTCTCGTGTTCCGCGACACGAGAAGTCAAAGAAAAAAGGTAAAGCATTCAAACATGCTGAAGGCATGGAGCGGAAAATTCCGATGCCGAATTGTTCGACCCTAAGACCCGGCTGTTGGAAGACCGTAACGGGTCTTCCTTGTTCCACGACGGAACAACGTACGTGGCACGTCTTTCTAGCGTAAGTGGTTAACCCTTTGTGGACGGAGCGGTTTTGAGTAAACCGTACCGTGGATCAGAGCCGCTGTCGTGATAGTCATTTAAAATTACCACCGCTCATTTTTGCTTAAACGCGATTTCTAAGCCATAGCGACGCGTTTACGTGGGACACATTTATGCGTCCCTCGGCCCTAACAGTTGTTTTCGTCAAACGCATATGTATATGTGGTGCTCGTCAACAAAGAATTAAGTCCTTCACAGCCCTTATTATCATTTTATTTAGGAATTCTTACAAAACGTGCTCCTATCACGTTAAGTTTTTGCGTTGAGTTTGCAATGACTAAATTATTTTCGCCATCCTTACATGCCGTGTGCAGATTTATATCAGCATCTTCGAATAAGTAGCTTTTATTTTATAGAATTTTTATTATTCCTATGGATTCCAATTGTGTAAACATAATTGCATTTTTTATTTCATTATTTCAATATGTATTGATAGAGTAAGTACATTCTTGTCTTAACTTGTGAGAGGAATCTTTATTTGGATGTCGTCACCGTGGATCGAGATCTATCTTTGCTTCGAGGATTTCGAGCCTCCGTATATTTTATACCGCCAAGAAATAAAGAATACGACCAGAATCAAAAGTTCGTTTCGACTTATTAATCCGATATTTACCACAAACTGCATTTTGTATATCATCAACGAACTGAATATAAGAAATGGGGAAGAAGGAAGAGAAAGGAAAAAAAATGATGCCAACAACACGCGTGGAGTTCCCAAGCGGTCACCCATCTAAGTACTATCCGCGCCCAACGAAGCTTAACTTTGGTGATCGGACGATAACCAGTGCATTCTGAGTTTTTGTTTTCTTTTTGAGCGTTTATTGTACCAATAATAAAAGAAACAAGTATATACAGGGTACAACAAACTATAAAACACATAGACAGTTTACGGTAAATTACACAAAACGTGTTAGAGACCCAGATTAATGGCTCTAGTATTCGAGCTCTCGCAATCTGACATTTTTGTATTACGCTTTAATGAACTGCACTTAATGCTACTTTCTTACAGTAAAATATTTGGAGACTTGTGTCCGGGCTTTAACAATGACGGAAAAATATTAATTGTACCTGATTGGCACTGGCGGACAACTAAGTAATTAGTCGGTGCAGATTATGGAGGGAGGATGAGTGGAGATGAGTAGGGGTAATAGAGAGATTAAGATTTATTACATATATACAGTAAATGGCACGTGGATGCCAGTGAAACACCTATGCACATATATGTATGGATTGCCTAAGCTATATAGTTATATACGCGATACAGTTATGTAGATATAAATTACAAATTTATAAAATTCGTACTTCCATATAATAGATTAATGTACGAATAAAGCATTCGTATCAGGTGCGCCAAAGAATAAGACAGATATATATACATTTCATGCACGCAATTGTCCACAATATACATATTTACATCCTCATACAATTTTGCTAAGGAATCCGAAATTTAATTACTATTAACATTTGAATATATACATGAATGTATATTGTGTGTGGACAATTTATACCTGTGAACAATGCGTAACTGAAGTTATACACTTACAGACTACCTACAATAATACGATAAAGAGCAGTAACAAGATAGAAATATATCTTATGTTTAATTTCATTTGGCCCTTCTCTTCTACTACCTTGTATTAGTAGAAGTGTAAATATAGGGATGAATTGATTGCACGGGTGATTTCGGTAATCTGAGTAAACGAATATGCCAGACACTTGACAACAGGTTGCGAGTGTGAGACTAAAGCCACCAGTATTTTTTGGTGTTTTTTCTGTGAGCGTCATTTGCATCAATGGAGGGCAGTTTAGTTGAGAAACGTATATTCGCGTGATTGTCTGGAGTGTTTTTGTCGAATAGAATTCTTTTATCTGAGATTTTTTGAAAATAATTATATAAAATGGGTAAATTCTTGTTGTTTTGAATTAGTCCTTGAGAATCGAGGTGCAGGAATACTTCAGCTATGCTTCAGGGGGAATAAGGCCTGTATCTTTTGTTACGTCAAAATAGCACGGATTTGGGTAGGTGGAGTGTAATATAAAGCTATTGTCAGTGACCTTTCTTGTGCTTGCCCAATATTTTCTCATAAGTTCAAGTATGAATGGATCTATTCTTATTAATTTAGCTTCTTCCATAGATGTTGCGCTTATATTGAACCAAACGAGAGCAGCATATGTGAGGATTGGACGAATTAAGAGTTTATAACATAGAATTTTGACAGATTCATCGAGGTGTCTGGAATAGAATAGACTTTTGGTGGCCATAAACGATTTTTGAGCTTTTTCTATTTATATATCAACGTGTTGGTTAAAATATAATCTAAAGTCGATGTGAGCACCTAGGTATCGAACTAGCGGTTTGTGGGAAATTTTTGTGTTTGGGTCGTTATTGTCAGAGAGAAAGAAGTTTTTGGAGTTGTGTATAACGTCGGAATTGATTTTTGACGATTTTAGGATCTTTGGTCTAAACAGAATGGTTTCACACTTTTTGGGATTAATTTTTAGTTTCCAGTTTAGTAGGTATTTTTCGGTTTTATCGAATAGATTTTGTAATACGTTTTTGATGACGGTGGGTTTAGGGTGTTTAACATAGATTAGTAAATCATCGGCAAATGCAATGGCTAGTTTATCGTGATCCTTGTTCAGACCAAACATCTTGAGCAAATCGCACGTGTAAATATTGAAAAGTATGGGCGAATTTACAGTACCTTGTTGAATCCCATTTAAGATTTGAAAATGTTGCGAAGATTTGAATTGACCATCGGCTACAACGAACTGTTTGTCGTGTGTCATGTTCCAGATCATTTTAATCAGATGAAACGGGAAATTCTTTTTCTTCAGCTTGTAAAAGTGGCCGTCCAGCCAGACCGTGTCGAAAGCTTTTCCGAGATCGATTAAAATAGCCCCGACCCAATCTCCGGCATTTCTGGCCCAGACGATATCTGAGGTGAGTTTACAGATAGCATGGACTGCGTTATGTTTAAATTTGAAGCCGAATTGATTTTCGGGAATGATTGCATGGGTTTTGCAGGTGCTGGTTATTGCCTCATTAATTACTGTTTCGAAGATTTTACTATTTGGGAGTAGGCTAATGGGACGATAATTAGCCGGATCACTGCCATCCTTACCCTTTTCTTTTAACGGTATAAGTTTAGCCGTCTTCCAGAATGAGGGGAAGTAGGTGAGGTTAAAACAATTGTTGAATAAAATAGTATAAACGTATATATATCTTGGGAGAAGGTTTTTTAGGACTATATTATGTATACCATCGAAGCTGGAAGATTTTTTACCGCTTAATTTTTTGAATAACAATTCCATTTTGTAAAAAGTGGTAAAATACTCATGAGGGATGGAATCGAATTCGGGATTGGCAGCCGGGTTAGTGGATGAGAAAGTGCACAGTGTCCTGTTGTATTGCCTGTCGAGATGGAGTTCAAGGGAAAGTTCGTCGATGTATTTATTTACTATATTAGCTAGTTGATTGCTGCCGATGTTTGTATTTTGTGTATGTACTGATTCAAAGTATGATCCAAGGATGTTTAGTTTGTCTACAGTGCTACTAATGCGGTAGTTACCGAGTCTGTCTGTGTGTAGGTCGCAAAGATTTAAATTTACTTTTTTGATCAGGTCAACGTCGTAACGTGGTATTTTAAGATTATCGATGGAAATGCAATCTTTACGCCTGAAGATATTTCTGATGTTTGGCAACATTTGGTTAGGATTTCGGGTGGATATGCTTGTTAGTCTGTTTTTCCAGAAGCAGTTAACAGAAATATGGAAGGTCTTTTTAATTGCAATTCTGGTGAGTTTAAGGGAATCTTTGAGAATGTGGATCAAAGTATCGTTACGACGAGAGTAGTTTTGTATTTTCGTTAGGCGATGTATCTGCTCGATTATGAAACTTTTTTGTTTGCGGAGTTGGATAATTTCTGGTGTGATGTATCTGTCGGTGGAGTTGAAGCTATGGGAGATACGGGGAGATGCGTCAACTATTGCTTCGGATATGTAAAATTGCATCTGTGCGAGGTGGTTGTCAATTTCGTTTGTCGAGAGGTTTCTGTCGTTGGGTATATCGAAGTGGTTATCTTTAGATAAAGATTTTTTAAATTTATTCCAGTTTTTCTTGTTGAAATTGTACTTTTGAACGGGAGAGGCTATGTCTAGAGAAAGGAGGTCTTTTCCATGGATGGAAATTTTTATAACGGAGGCTCGATGGTCAGTGTCGTAGTCGAACGATTTAAGTAAACTATTGTGTGAAAGGTTGTGGAAGATTAGACGGAAATCTGCTAAACAGAGGTCGATGAGGGAATTGTTTTTGGGGAAAGACGGCACAGCTGAACAT